CACATTTGATTCTTGGGGCAAATTTCTGGAAGAGTACATTTAGTGCTCAACTTAACAACAGTTCATTAAGTCACCATGCAAAGTTACAGCGGCACTGCAAAAAGTGACTTATGACTTATGTTTTATACACTTTATGACCTTTGCAGCCTCCCTCTGATCATGTGATCAAAATTCAGGCGCTTGGCAACTGACTCATATTTATGACGGTTGCAATGTCACTGTGTGTGACATGTTCACCTTTTGTGACCTTCTGACAATCAAAGTCAATGGGGAAGCCAGGTTTACCTAACAACCATGTTAACATCTGCAGTGATTCACTTAACAAGTGTGGCAAGAAAGGTCATAAACTAACTGAGGCAAAACTCAGTCTAACCAATGTCTCATTTAGCAATAGAAATTTTGGGCTCAATTGTGTTTGTAAGTCCAGGATTAACTGTAATCAGGCTCCTAACATTCTAAGTGACTTCTTCAGTACTGTCTTGGACTAGGTGGATGGAACCCAAAGCACCATTTGAATTTCCCATCATGGCTCTGAGTGATGCTACGTCAGGAAAATAAAATAAAATAAAATATTTGTGGGAAAATAAAATAGCAGTTCAAAGATGCAGATCCTGGAAGGGGCAAAGAGGGGAGAAAATGGGTATAGGAAGGAGCCTCCAAAATGCTGTGAGCCCACAACTCATCTTACAAACACAACCTAAACCCAAAATTGAGCAGAAAAATGTTCATTCTATGTGTTAGGACTCTAGCTTAATGGCCATGAAATCAGTTTGCTGGTTCCTCTTCTTTGAGATTAAAACCAACCCAGATGCTTACGATATCTGCCACATTTTTTTGCTGGTCGTTCACCGTCCTTTCCTTTCTTAGCCTATCATCTACGTTTATCTCACTTGCTTGTAGAGCAGAATGTATGTAGGAAGACGGCTGTCACAATATATGTATTTTGCAATTTCACTTAACAACTAGGTCTCCAGTTAACCATTTTGCTTCAGTAGAATTTCTTCCGTTTCCATTTAATGAGGTCAGTCCTGAATAAATTCAACAAAGAGGGTAGGTTGCAGGTCCTGTCAGCTAAGGAGCTTCATTTGGGTTCCAGATTCTGGAGGGTCTTAAGTGGTGGCCCCTTTTTGCTGTGGCCCCTGCTTTACGATCATCCTTTCCACTTAAAATGACTTTCTGGACGTCTCTCAAGACTTGGTGGTGTCATTAGGCCTAAGACCCTGTTCGCAGGCCCGCAAAATACTGAAATGGCTCCAGCATGCAGGTAGTCCTTGATTTAGGACCATGATTAAGTTCAAAATTTCTGTTACTAACTGAGACATTTGTTAAATGGGTTTTGCTCCATTTTACAATCTCTCTTGTGATGGTTGTTAAGTGAATCACTGCAGTTGTTAAGATAGTAACATGGCTGTTAGGTGCATCTGGCTTCCCCATTGACTTTGCTTGTCAGACGGTTGCAAAAGGGGATCGTGTGACTCCAGGACGCTGCAAATCGAATGTCTGAATTTTGTTCACATCATCACGGGGCAACAGTCTTGAGTGTGAAAAACTGTGATAAATCACTTTTTCACTGCTGTTTAGATCAGGGGTGGGCAACTGTGGCCCTTTTACAACCTGTGGACTTCAACTCCCAGAATTCCTGAGACAGCTGTCTCAGGAATTCTGGGAGTTGAAGTCCACAGGTTGTAAAAGGGCCACAGTTGTCCTTTTTAGATGAATCTGGCTTCCCCATTGCCTTTGCTTGTCCGAAGGTTGCAGAAGGGGATCACGTGACTCCAGGACACTGCAAATGTCATGAGCCTATTGCCAAATGTCTGAATTTAGTTCATGTGACTGTAGGGATGCTACAACGATTGTAAGCATGAAAAAAAAGGTCATAAATCCCTTTTTTCTCCAGTGCCATTGTAACTTTGAATGGTGACTTAATGAGCTGTTATAAAGTCGGAGACTATCAGTAATTAACTCTGCTCTTTGCCCAGCGTCTTTTTAATTTTTGTTATGTGCCTTTATAATTTTAAAGTTTTTAATAATATAAATATGAATTTGTACATGTTTTTTTTAACTTTATTATAGGCCACCCACAGTAATTTTATTATGAGATGGGCACTCATATAAATAGAATGAATGAATAAATGAATAGCTGTACTGAATAGCTTTAATATCTGCTCATGAGTAACCGTTTATTTAACAATCATGATACATTATCCATTATTTCATTTATGAGCCAATATAGTTAAGGGCCTTGTAATGCGACTATGATTCAGTCTTAGAATATTTTTCTTCCTTTTCTTTGTACTTCAAAATTCAGGCTATTTAATTATATTTAATTAACAGGCGGTTTGGTTTGTCTAGACTAGAGTGGTGTTTCTCGAACTTGGCAACTTGGCAATGTGTCGACTTCAATTTTCAAAGTTCCCAAAGGAATTGAAGTTGGCACATTATCAGGTTTTCAGTTGCATTTACATTGCAGTTTTCCCGGGTCCCCAAAATTTCTATTGCTGACTGAGACAGTTCTTAAGTTATTTTTTTTGCTCCATTTTATAACTTTTCTTGTCACAGTTGTTAAGTGAATCAGCGCAGTTTTTAAGTTACCGTATTTTCCAGTGTACAAGACGACTTTTTAACACATGAAAATCTTCTCAAAAGTCAGGGGTCGTCTTATATGCCGGGTGTCGTTCTTCTGTAAACAGGCAGACCAGCCCGAAAGGCTCTGACGAGCCTTAAATGGCTCTGGCGATCCAAGCTCTGACGATCCCAGTTGAGTTGCCTGCTAATCAGGCAACACAGCTGGGATCGCAGAGCCATGTAAAAGAAAAAAAGTTTTCCCCCTCCAGCTTGCTTACCTTAGCTGCTAGTCGCAACGCTTGCCTCGCTTCGCTTGCCTGAATCCATTCCATCAGCAAGCCACTCCCTGTCTGCAATCAAGCAGGCAGGGAGTTGTGGACTTCAACTCCCAGAATTCCTCAGCCAGCAAAGCAAAGCTGGCTGAGGAATTCTGGGAGTTGAAGTCTACAAGTCTTAAAGTTGCCAAGGTTGGAAACCTCTGTTCTATTGGGTAAGTTTTTTCCCCTTTGGGAGCTTTAAAAAAAAATAGGTAATTGGGGTTTTTTTTAGTTGTTCTTTTTTAGACCTAGCCATTTAAAGTTTAGGAAGTTTTAAATTTAGCTTTCATATAAAAATAAAAATAAAATTAAATAAAATAATATTTGTGCAGCTTTCTGAGATTTAGTGTGTTTCTGTAGTGTTTCATTCTAACTACACAAACACACAAAATCTCACAAAGCTGTATGTGGAATTTTGTGTGTGTAAAGTGTGAAAGTTGGTTTTTTTGGGCTTTTTGTGGCTGTGTGAGGTTCCTGTTTGTTGCAGGGGCCATTTTGGGTCTAGCACAGCTGCTTTTACATTGTGGGTGAGCCAGTTGTGTTGTGTTGTGTGTGTGTAAAGTGTGAAAGTTGTTTTTTGGGGTTTTTTGTGGCTGTGTGAGGTTCCTGCTTGTTGCAGGGGCCATTTTGGGTCTAGCACAGCTGCTTTTACATTGTGGGTGAGCCAGTTGTGTTGTGTTGTGTGGGGGTAAAGTGTGAAAGTTGCTTTTTTGGGCTTTTTGTGGCTGTGTGAGGTTCCTGCTTGTTGCAGGGGCCATTTTGGGACTAGCACAGCTGCTTTTACATTGTGGGTGAGCCAGTTGATGTTTTTTAATTTTTATTTGGTGTGTGTTGGAAGAGGGGTAGTCTTATACGGCGAGTATAGCCCAAACCCTATATTTTAACAGGAAAATTCGGGGGTCGTCTTATACGCCCAGTCGTCTTATACGCTGGAAAATACGGTAGTAACAAGGTCGTTAAGTAAACCTGGCTTCCCCATTGACTTTGCTTGTCAGAAGGTCTCATGACTCCTGGGACTTCGCAGCCACAAGCCAGTGGCCAAATGTCTGAATTTTGTTCACATCATCACGGGGCAACAGTCTTGAGTGTGATAAATCACTTTTTCAGTGCTGTTTAGAGTGGTCATGAAACGAATGGTTGTAAATCAAGGACCTGTACAGGACAGATTGTCTTTCTCTGCATTGCCATGTTCTGGAATACAGGAAGCTATGCATTGTTGCTTCCTGATCTATGTATAGATTTTGGACAAGATCAAGCATAGCATATTATGGACTAGATATTGAATATATTAGCTGATTTTTTAAAAAAACAGCTTCTCTGTTTTTTTGTTTGTTTTTTGTTGGGGAGATGAATATTCAATAACAGAATTGGAAGAAACCTTGGAGGTCTTCTAGTCCAACCCCTGCTCAAGCACCCGTGAAGGCGAACGTATGGCACGTGTGCCACAGGTGGCACGCGGAGTCATATCTCTGGACACGTGAGCATTGCCCTAGCTCAGCTCCAGCGTGTATGCGTGCATCGGCCAGCTGATTTTCGGGCCTTTTGGGCTCACCGGAAGTTGGGAAATGGGCTGTTTCCAGCCTCCGGAGGGCCTCCAGGTGGGTGGGGAAGGCTGTTTTTGCCCTCCCCAGGCTCCAAGAAAGCCTCTGGAGCCAGGGGAGGGCAAAAAACAGGCCTACTGGGCCCACCAGTAACCTTTTTGCCGTCGCGTGCCAAAAGCGAGGGGAGTATGGAGGGATCACTCGCATGCGTGGGGAGTCACGGCACGGGGGGCATTGAATTATGGGTGTGGAAACACTCGCGCGCAACCAACCCCATGCTCCCCCCGCTTTTGGCACATGACGGCAAAAAGGTTAGCCATCACTGCCGTACACCATTTCAGACAAATGGCTGTCCAATCTCTTCTTATAAACCTCTACTGATGGAGCACCTACAACTTTAGGAGGCAACTCATCCCACTGGTTAATTGTTCTCACTGTCAGGAAATTTCTTTTCAGTTCTAGATTGGTTCTCTCCTTGATTAGTTTCCATCCGTTGCTTCTTGTCCTGCCTTCAGGGGCTTTCAATTGATAAGCTGGTGGTTAGTGTGGCTGACCAGATCTATTTTATCTTCTGCAGCACATGTCCAAAAGGCTACAGGTGTTTAAAGGCTGGAGACAATCCTGACCATGGCTTCACAAGCTTTGATACTTTCGGCTGGGCTTTTCTCTCCTTGTTCCGCCTCATGACTCAAGACTGCTGGGAGCGCCTCTACCAACAGGTAGACTCCTTATTTATTGTCATGTTTACTCGTTATAGCTTGGCTTTCCTGCAGGGTCTCAGCAGATGGGCAACACTTGGTTGATCTCATCTCAGCTTGGAAGATAATAAGCTCAGTGAATGCTTGGATGAGAGATGACCAGGAATCTCAAAACTAAACACAAAAGTTGAATACATATTCTAGACAAAGGCAATGGGAAACAGTTTCTGTGTGGTTGCAAAATGGGCAGACATGTTTCTGTGCTGTAAATTGTCCAGAGTCTATGGGAGTTGTTGGCTATAAAGAACCAGTTTGGTCTAGGGATCAAGATAATACGCTAAAACCCAGGAAACGGTGAGTTCTAGTTCCATTTTAGGCCTGAAAACTGGTTGGCTTTGGACCAATCATCATGAGATAATAACTTCTAATCCTGTCCCAGGCATGAAAGCCAATTGGGTGACTTTGGGCCAATCACCAGGAGACAGTGAGTTCTTATCTTGCCCCAGGCATGAATGCTGATTGGGTGATTTTGGGCCAGTCATCAGAAGATTGTGAGTTCTAATGCTGCCCCAGGCATGAATGTGGGCTGGGTGATTTTGGGCCAATCGCCACAAGACTGTGATTTTTACTGCTGCTTTAGGTATGAAAGTCAGATGGTTATCTTTGGGCCAATCACCAGGAGACAGTGAGTTCTAATTCTGCCCCAGGCATGAATGACAATTGGATGATTTTGGGCCAATTACCAGAAGATTGAGATTTCTAGTCCTGCATTAGAGATGAAAACTGTCTTGAAGGAGTTTGAGCCAATCCCTCTCTCTCAGCTCAAGATCTTATCAGGTTGTTTCTGTGTGAAAAATAACTCAAGGTGACAATATATATATACAGTAGTGGCCAAAATTGTGGAAACCTTTTGGGAAAAGTGTATTTTTGAGGTTTGATGGCTAATAACACCACTTTTTTTGGGAATTTCAAGATAATCATATTCCACTGCTGGAATGGCCTGGGAATAGCCCAGACCTTAAGCCAATTGAAAATCTATGGAGCCGACTAAAGAAACTTGTTAGTCAGAAGCAACCCAGCAATAAAACCCAGTTAATAGAAGCAATCATTCAATCTTGGTTTCACATTAGAACAGCTGCAGAACTAAAAGACTTGGTTCACTCCACGGGAAGACGCTGTAAGGCCGTAATTCATGCTAAATATACCCAACTCAGTATTAACTGACATGGTGATAATTTATAAAAGTTATTGCATTACATTCTTAATTAAATTATCTTTCCATTGATATATAATTTTATGGTACTACTCCCCCCAAAAGAGTGGTATTATTAGCTAGTTTTAGAAAATACACTTTTCCCAAAAGGTTTCCACAATTTTGGCCACTACTGCATATCCATCCATGAAGACATCTTTTCTGTTGCTGGTCATCTCTGGAAAATGCAGTGAGATCCACTAATGTTATGAGGATTCCCAAATGTTTATGATGAAGCATGCATGGTTCTAATAACTCTTGAATATCTCTTTTCCCTCCCATTTTTTCTTTTCTCTCTCTCTCATTTATATAGACTCTGAGATCTGCTGGAAAGATCTACATGCTTTTTTTCATGCTGGTCATATTTTTGGGTTCCTTTTACCTAATCAATTTGATTTTGGCTGTGGTAGCCATGGCTTATGAGGAGCAGAATCAAGCAACCATTGCAGAAATGGAGGCCAAGGAAAAGAAATTTCGAGACGCCATGGAGGCACTGAAGAAAGAGCAAGAGGTTTGTAAACTTTCCAATTTGGAGCAGCTTTTCTTTGCTTTAGGTAAAGCAGAAGTGGGGACCGATGGCCCTTTTATGACTGGTGGGCTTCAACTCCCAGAATTCCTGAGCGAGCCATGCTGGGTCAGGAATTCTGGGAATTGAAGTCCATAAATCATAAAGGGGCCATTGTTCCTCACCTCTATGCTAAAATGTTGGGTTGCATGCTACAGAATAAGCATCTCATTGGTTAAACATGGGGGCCATTACTACATAGTTACCTATTTCAGGGTAACTTTGTAATAAAGCTGTAGTAGCAAGCTACTCAATTAAAGATGTAATAGGGAGCTCCAACTTCTCAAAACAGTGGTAGGGAACCTACACAGTCAAAAACCAGCCTGGGGTGCCCAGACCCTTGAGGGCAGTGGTGAAATCTAAAATTTGTTATTAGCGGTTCTGTGGGCGTGGCTTGGGGGGGTAATGTGACTGGGTGGGCATGGCCTTTTTTTTTTTTTTTTAACTTTTAAAACCATTTTTTCTACAACCTCTTCGGCGAAGAGGTTGTAAAAAAATGCTTTCAAAAGGCTCTGACGATCCCAGCTGAGTTGCCTAATCGGCAGAGACTTTTTTTCTTTTAAATGCCTCTGACAATCAGGCAACTCAGTTTGGATCGTCAGAGACATTTCTTTTAAAAGCCTTTGATGATCCCAGCTGAGCCGAGCGATCATCAGAGGCTTTTTTTTTTTACTTTTAAAAGCATTTTTTCAGCCGAAGAGGTTGTAGAAAAAATGCTTTTAAAAGTAAAAAAAAAAAAGCCTCTGATGATTGTGCGGGTCAGCTGGGCATGGGGGGGGGGGGGGCAGGGATTTTTGCTACCGGTTCTCCGAACCATCCGCTTCCATCGCTACCGGATCGGGCGATCCAGTCCGAACTGGGAGCATTTCACCCCTGCTTGAGGGCCAATATTAGTAGCCCTCAACTTACGACCACAATTGAGTCCAAAATTGCTGTTCCTAAGCAAGACAGTTATTAAGTGAATTTTGTTCCATTTTACCATCTTTCTTGCTACAGTTCTTAAATGAGTCTCTGCACTTAAAGTTAGTAAGTTGTTAAGTTGTTAAGTTGTTAGTAAGTTGTTAAGAAGAGCCTTGGTAGTACAGGGGTTTAAGGCACCCTGGTTATTAAGACCAGCTGCCTGCAATTACTGCAGGGTTCGAATCTCGCCAAGGCTCAAGGTTGACTCAGCCTTCCATCCTTTCTAAGGTAGGTGAAATGAGGACCCAGTTTGTGGGGGCAATAAGCTGACTTTGTATAAATATACAAAAGGATGAAGGCTATTGCTTAACGCATTGTAAACCGCCCTGAGTCTCCGGAGAAGGGCGGCATATAAATCAAATTTTTTAAAAAAAATTTAAAAAAAAAGTGAATCTGGCTTTCCTGATTCTTTCCTAATTGACTTTGCTTGTCAAAAGGTCACAAAAGGGGATCACATCCGTAAAACTACTTGGTTTGGTTGTACGTAAAAAAACTGGGCATGTTGCATGCAGGATCTTCAATTCATTGCCCTTGCCAACATTGACTTTGCCAGAGGAGCGGTTGCTGTGTCAATCAGGGTACTCCAAATCATGCATTTCATCACGTGACTGCAAGGACCATCCATTCTGTGGGTTTATTTCATCCCAGCTGGGACCAAAAGTCACAGGTGTTCTGTTACTCTCAGGATTCCCGTTATTGCACCATTTACGAAGCACTTGTTAGAAACAGTCTGTTGGTATTCTTTACCTTATCATCTTCGATGTTATTCTGTTGCATATTAGCACTAGAGGGAATTAATAGCTTTTCGTTCAATAGTGGCAGTCCTTGCCATCCGTTCCAGTTAATTAATTGGTTTTTTTTTTCAGATTTACTGTATTGATCTCCCAACTTCAAACAGCCATTAGGACCTCATTAGTCAACAAGTGAATTAATAGAAAGGGTCAGTTGTTCAAACAGTATCAAGCTTTCCCTTATGCTAATAAAACAATTCATATAACAAAAGCCAAGGATATGTATGACGAGAGGGAATACATAATGCTGACTAGCATGAGCCAAAGTGTATTTGAGAGACAGTCTGATGTGTTGGTTAAAGAGAATGTGCTAGAAAGTGGGGGACTGTGAGTTGTAGTTCTGTCTTAAGCCCAGGAAGCAAATTGGATAGTTTTGGATCAACCCCACCCTTTAATATCAATGGGTATTTTGTGAGAAAGGTACACTGTTTCTTTTTCACATTTTTGGACCATCCAGGTCCCTCAGGTAGCTAGGTAGAAAGATAGACAGACAGACATAAAATTGCAACGGACAGAAGGCAATATTAGAATCTGGTAAATCTGTGTCAATTGAGGCTGCATGCCTGAATGTATAAAATAAACAATAACCTGTTTTACACATTGCACATCATAATTTGTTCTGTCCGGTTTATAACCATTATATAGAATAATGGATATAGTTATACGGGATAGAGTAGGAGACTGAATCTAGATAAAATCACCAACTGTGTGGCCAGTTTAAACCACTCAAATGGCAAAAATCTCAAATCCCCTCTAAAATAAATAAGATTATGGACTAGGGGAGACATGATAGTAGTGTTCCAGTATTTGAGGGGCTCCTACAAAGACAAGGGGGTCGAATTATTTTCCAAAACACCAAAAGACAAAATTAGAAACAATGGATGGAAACTAACCAAGGAGAGAAGCAACCTAGAACCAAGGAGAAATTTCCTGACAGAACAATCGACCAGTGGAAAAAGCTTTTGCCTTCAGAAGTTGAGGGTGCTCCATCACTGGAGGCTTTCAAAAAGAAACTGGACAGTCATTTATCTGAAATACAATAGGGTTTCCTGCTTGAGCAGGGGGTTGGACTACAAGACCTCCAAGGTCCCTTCCAACTCTATTATTCTCTATTATTAACGAACCGAGGTGGCGCAGTGGTTAGGGTGCAGTACTGCAGCTACTTCAGCTGACTGCTAGTTCAGCAGATCAGCGGATCAAATCTCACCGGCTCAAGGTTGACTCAGCCTTCCATCCTTCCGAGATGGGTAAAATGAGGATCCAGATTGTTGGGGTTAATATGCTATTTATTTATTTATTTATTTATTTATTTATTTATTTATTTATTTATTTATCTATTTATTTATTTATTTATTTATTTTATTTTTATTTATTTATTTATTAAATAAATAAGTAAGTAAGTAAGTAAGTAAGTAAATAAATAAATAAATAAATAAATAAATAAATAAATAAATAAATAAATAAATATGCAGAAAGCATTTGCCTGCGGCTACTAAAACCAACTGCCTCTCCTCTGGGTTTCAGTTAAGGCTGAGGAGGAGGCAGCTGCTTTTAGAAGCTGAGTTCACACTGCCATGTGCTGCAAAGTACATCAAAATCTGAAGCATCACAAACTCTAATAGGCCTGATATTCTACAGACGTATTGAAATTAAAGCACGTGCTGACCATTAGGAGAGTTGTAATGGTTTAGCATGCGAAGTAATTATTGGGAGAAAAAGAAAGATAGAATAGAACTGGGCTGAATAGGTGAATCCCAAAGAGCCACATTTCATGTTGCAACATTTTATTGTGGGCTCCAGTGTCATTACTCATTGTAACTAACATATGAATTGAAGAGAGTACTTTGTAATGAGTAGAGGAACAGATTAGACTTGCCTTACACAGTATAGATCACTGAGTACAGATAGTCCTCAATTTACGACCACAATTGAGCCAATTTACGACCACAATTGAGCCCACATTTCTGTTGCTAAGTGAGACATTTGTTAAGTGAGTTTTGCCCCATTTTATGACCTTTCTTGGCACAGTTGTTAAGTGAATTACTGGAGTTGTTAAATTAGTAAAACCGTTGTTAAGTGAATCTGGCTTCCCCATTGAATTTGCTGGTCAGAAGGTCTCAAAAAGGGATCACATGACCCCAGGACACTGCAACTGTCATAAATATGAGTCAGTTGTCAAAAGCCCGAATTTTGATCACATGACCATGAGGATGCTGCTATGATCATAAATGTGAGAAACGATCATAAATCACTTTTTTTCAATGCTGTTGTAACTTTGAACGGTCACTAAGTGAACAGTCGTAAATCGAGGACTACCTGTAATCAAATCTTAATTTCTGGTCTACCCTAGAGGAGTAATGCACAGATTGGAGGGAGAAAGAGAGATGCTCTTTGTATGTCACTCTGAATCCCTGGAAAATATGGCACTCAGGAGATAAAAGCATATTTCCTTATTTTTTAACAATGCAAAGATAGGGAAACAAATCAGATTAAAAGGAAAGATTCTGGCTCTTATGATGATGTGCTGTTTTCTAGCTGATGTCCATTTTCTCTAGTTGTCTTCTTATTTTCATAAATATTAGTGAGTGTTATTTTCAGGCTATTATCATCATCACCCTCATTTTCCCATCCCAAGTGATAAATTTGGCTTTAGATCTATTTTTGACACCCCTTGGTTTTAGCAGACATTCCAGCAGTGATTGAAAGAGATGTGACAGAGCAAACCATCTTATCTGCGTATTATTTATTCATTTTTTTAACAGTTTGGGCTTATTATTCTGGATCCTTGGTCACAGCTTGTTCTGTCATTCAGTGGGATAAGATTCTGCTTGCAATGATAATAATAATAAATGCATTCTGAACCAGCAAAAAGAATATACTGTAGTATATTCACAGCAGTAGACGACACTGCCCAAATGTTTAGATGCTGGGAGAGCTGGCGCATGACTGGTGAACATGGGGATGATGGATAGTTATCTTGGGTTTTAAAACAGGAGAATGAAGGCAAGGATATAAATTTATAACAAGCTGTGATGTTAGAGGGCTGATGATCCAATTAGCTAGAGGAGCAGGTTCCTTTTGCTATGCATTGCGAGAAAAGGGGGTGTGAGAAGGTACACAATTTAAAATCTCTATATGGGGTTTAGTTTTGTGCAATCTTGCTCTTCGTCTCCTCATCTATCTCTTTCGGGTGAGGGCAGTGGTGGGATTCAGCCAGTTCGCACCACTTTGGGAGAACCGGTTGTTAACTTTCTGAGCAGTTTGATGAACTGGTTGTTGGAAGAAATAATTAAGGCAGAGAACCGGTTGTTAAATTATTTGAATCCCACCACTGGTAAAAGGTGGGGATGGGGATGGGAAGGAATAGGGGAATACAAGTAGTCCTCGAGTTACAACCCTTTGTAACCAGTTTGAACTTACAACAGCACTGAAAAAAATGACTTATGGCCATTTTTCACACTTAGAACCATTGCAATATCCCCATGGTCACGTGATCAAAATTCAGACACTTGGCAACTGACACATATTTATGACAGCTGTGCAGTGTCCCAGGGTCGTGTGATCCCCTTTTGCAACCTTCTGACAAGCCATGGAAAATCAGGGATTCACTTAGCAACTGTGCTACTAATTTAACAACTGCTGCAGTGATTCACTTAACAACTGTGATGAGAAAGGCTGTAAAATGGGGAAAAATTCACTTAACAACTATCTTGTTTAGTAGCAGAAATTTTTGGGCTCAGTGGTGGTCGAAAACTGAGGACTACCTGTAATCCTGCAGCTTGAAGCCCCATGCAAAGTTGGGAAGTTGGAAAGCTCCAATTAACAAAAGGCTGCTGTATTCTGAAATGTCCAGCATTGTGCTATTGACATTGTGACTGTCAATCAGAGGTGAAATGCTCTTGGTTCGGATCGGATTGTCCAATCCGGTAGCGATGGAGGCGGGTGGTTCGGAGAACCGGTAGCAAAAATCCTTGCCCCCTCCCCACCATGCCCAGCTGAGCCGCACGATCATCAGAGGCTTTTTTTTTTACTTTTAAAAGTATTTTTTCTACAACCTCTTCCACCGAAAAAATGCTTTTAAAAGTAAAAAAAAAAAGCCTTTGATGATCGCACAACTCAGCTGGGATCATCAGAGGCTTTTCAAAGCATTTTTTTCTGCAATCTCTTCGGCTGAAGAGGTGGTAAAAAAAATACTTTGAAAAGCCTCTGACGATTCCAACTGAGTTGCCTGATCGGCAGAGGCTTTTCAAAGCATTTTTTTGCAACCTCTTCGGCCGAAGAGGTTGTAGAAAAATGTTTTGAAAAGTTAAAAAAAAAAAAAGTTGGCCATACCTACCCAGTCACATTAACCCCCCAAGCCATGCCCACAGAACCGGTAGTAACAAATTTTACATTTAACCCCTGCTGTCAATGCTTCCTTTGCCTAAGACACAACAGCTGGCTGGATGACTTGAGGCCAATCCCTTGGAAATTGTAAGTTCTAGTCCCGCTTTAGGCATGAAAGCCAGCTGGCTGACACTGGGCCAGTCCCTCGCTCTCAGCCCAACCCACCTCACAGGATTATTATTGTTGTGCGGACTATAGGAAGAGGAAAGTGTGTTGGTTATGTTTGCCACCTTGAATTATTTGTAAATTATTTGTAAAAATAATAAAGTCAGGATACAAACAAACTACCAAGAGCCTTGGTAGGTGATCTAAACAGTGGTCTAAAGCACCCTGTTATTAAGACCAGCTGCTTGCAATTACTGCAGGTTCGAATCTCGCCAAGGCTCAAGGTTGACTCAGCCTTCCATCCTTTCAAAGGTAGGTAAAATGAGGACCCAGATTGTGGGGGCAATAAGCTGACTTTGTATAAATATACAAAAGGATGAAGGCTATTGCTTAACGCACTGTAAGCCGCCCTGAGTCTCCGGAGAAGGGCGGCATATAAATCAAATTAAAAAAAAAAACAAGCAAACAAATAAAATAAATAAAATAGAATCCCAGGTTGGAAGGGACCATAGGAAGAAGTCATCCAGTTCAGACCCTAATTGGTGCTAGACTTCATCTGGTACCCATTTTGTGACAGAGACTACAATGTGTTCCATTCCTAATTTCAAATGACTTTATCAGCGTTCCCAAAGATTTGGGAACCTTGATCTGTTGGACATCAGTCGCCGAAGGCATGAAGCAAGGCATGAAGGAAGACCCTATTCCCCAGGTTCTCTGCAGCCCTTGCTTCAGAAAAGGGTTCCAGTGTTCAAACTCAGAAAAATCGGAATGATAGTTTTACGAATGGATGTGATTCTCTTGGGGTTACAGCAGAGGTGGGGAACCATGGCCCCTGTATGACTTGTGGGCGTAAACTCCCAGAATTCCTGAGTAAGCATGGCTGGCTCAGGAATTCTGGGAGTTGAAGTTCACAAGTCTTAAAAGGGCCATTGTTCCCCACCCCTGAGTTGGACGGAAGGCCCCTTTAGCCTCAATATATTCCTGCTGGGGTGAGAGAAATGCCACTGCAAGATTGCTATTTGTAGTGGGGGAGCCAGGGGGGAAGAGAGATTTGGCTTAATCCAGGGCCTTCCCTTCCTCTAATAGCACATTTTTCTTAGGACAATTTTCACCTCCAAATTACACCAGCTTCCTTTTTCATGGCGTAAGAATCTCACTTCCAAAAACTGCTTTGAGTAGAGATGCCTAAACGCCTGTTAAAAAAAAATATCACAAACACTGCGGGTTTTTTTGCTTTGTTTTGTTTGAAGAGGTACAACATAGTCCTGGGTGTCATTGATACAAATAGCTAGCATGCGTTAAAGCTGGCTTTCAAATAAGAGACTTCGAGTTTATATATTTTCATTGTTCTGTTTTCTTTCAGGCATTAGCTCGAGGCATTGATTCATTGTCACTTAGTTCATTTGAAGTGTCACCTGTGGCCATGAAGAACTTCAAAGAACAAAGGAATCAAAGAAGAAAAAAGAAGTCTTCAGGGGCAGATGATGAGGCAGAAGATCAAGAGCCTGATTCAGATGATGGCCAACGAAGGGCGGTTAGTGTTTGCATTAAAATGTTAATCAAAGGAATGTCATAACTGTTTTGTGAAGAGCTTAGCATATTTTTTTTCTCATGGAGATGGAGGCGTTATTTAGATTAATACACAGATAGCGCTCGACTTACGACCAGAATTGAGCCCAAAATTTCTGTAGCTAAGCAAGACAGTTGTTAAGTGAGTTGCGCCCTATCTTATGACCTTTCTGGCCACTGTTGTTAAGCAAATTACTGCAGTTGCTAAGTGAATCATGAGGTTGTTCAGCGAAACTGGTTTCCCCCATTGACTTTGCTTGTCAGAAACCAGCTGGGAAGCTTAGAAATGGCGATCGCATGACCCTGGGACACTGCAACTGTCATAAATACATGCTAGTTGCCAAGCACCCAAATTATTATCAAATGACCATGGGGATACTGCAACAGTCATAATGTGAAAAATGTTCATAAGTCACTCTTTTCACTGCTGTCGTAACTTTGATCCTTAAACAAGTGGTTGTAAGTTGAAGACTATCTGTGTTTAGATATTCTAGGCCAGTGTTGGCGAACCTTTTTGGCACCGACTGCCGAAACGGGAGCGCACACCCGTGCAGGCGTACGTGCTGGAAATCGGAAGAGCAGCTGCCTGGCATGCATGTGCGCCCCGGGAAGATGATCTTCCGGTTTCCAGCGTGCACATGCACACTGGCCACTTGGTCTTCTAGTTTCTGACGTGCATGCATGTGCAAAGACCAGCTGTCCAGTGCACACCAGGCGGTTGCTCTTCCGGTTTCCAGTGCATGCATGCGCACCGGCCAGCTGGTACCAGAAACCAGAAGACCAGGTGTCTGGTGCGTATGCGTGTGCCGGAAACCAGAAGATCATCTTCCTGCACATGCATGCGCATTGGGTGGTTTCTGGTGCTTCCGCGTGCTTGAAGACCAGCTGGCCAGTGCGCCGGAACCCAGAAGAGCAACAGGCGACCCCTCGCATGCCTAGAGAGATGGCTCTGCATACCGCTTCCAGCATGACTGCCATTGGTTCATCATCACAGTTCTAGGCCTTGCCAAGTCTCTTAATTTAACTACTGCAACTTCTTTACTTGTTTACTTGTACAAGGCTTTATGACTTGAACAGTTGCTAAAGGTCAGGCACAACAGTCCTGGAAACAGAAAACGTCATAATATTAGGGTATTTTGATGCTCGTATGAACCTGTTCCCTCTTCCCCATTATGGATGACTGCCCTTTCAATCTGGAACTTGTAGAACACACTAACATTCAGCCTTGATGTGTTCAGTAGCTTAAGGATGCTAAGGGTGAGTCCCATTTTGATCTTCAAAAGTTGTTTTGGAATGTACACAGGAGGATGGAAACTGGGCTTGTTGACCAGATACTTGAAAGTTTGAGACTCAAGTACCATGTAATGGGATGAGCTCTCGTTCTAGCCCCAGCTCCTGTCAACCTAGCAGTTTGAAAGCATGCACATGAAAGTAGATAAATAGGTACCACTTTGGTGGGAAGGTAACAGTATTATGTGCTTCTTGGTGTATAGTCCTGCTGGCCACATGACCACAGAAGCATCTTTGGATAATGCTGGCTTCTTGGATAAGAAACAGGAATGAGCATCATGCCCTAGAATTGGACACAACTGGACAGGGAAAACCTTTATCTTTACTTTTTATGTTGTTGTTAAGTGACCTGCAATGGTTGTAAATTTGTTTCTGGGCCCAATTCAAGGAGTTGGTTATTAACACTAAAGCCCTCTATGGCATGGGTCCAGGGTATCTGAGGAGCTGTCTCACCCCAATGGGATTGGCCTGCTCTGCTATGCAACCCATCTGTTAAGGAATTCTGGGATCAAGAAGAAGAGACTTTTCTGCTGTGGCCCCAAATCTATGGGACACTCTATCACCACAGGAAGGATAGTTCCTCCAGCTCTCTTGTCCTTCATAGAGCCATGATAGTGCATTGGTTAGAATGCAGTACGGCAGACTACTTCTGTGGACTGCTGGCTCAAGGTTAACTCAGCCTTCCATCCTTCCGAGGTGGGTAAAATGAGGACCCAGATTGTTGGGGGCAATAGGCTGACTCTGTAAACCATTTAGAGAGGGCTGTAAAGTACTGTGAATCAGAGTATTATTGCTATTGCTTCTGGAAGTGTATCAACATTTGGTTTTGCCAGTTGGCTTAGGGCATTGGCAGGATAAGAAGATCTCTTCCCGGTCTGTCTTTTTTTGTATAGTTTTTAAATTTTTTAATTGTTTTTTTTTATTGATTAATTTTCCGTTTGTAAACCATCTAATGTCCCAAAGAGGCAACTAGACTTTCTTGTTTCTCTTTGAAGATAGTTTGCTTCTCATACAAGAAGCTTCTTTAGCTTGACTGGATGGTGGGGAATGGAAGGATTTATATTCCTTGCAGATAGCTCGTCATTTGCATTCTTTTAGAGAGTTGTTGAGGCCACTTTGAGGTTTATCTGTGTCCTCAGGGTCACCTGAGTAGTGCATATGGGTGTAGAACTGTTGAAATGACAGTGTTCTAGATTGGAGATAGATGAGAGGGCTTGTCCATCCCAAGGATAAAATATCCAGAAGTAAACTAAGCAATATGGTATATGTGGTACAATGCAGTGAGATATGTGCAGATCTGTACATTGGGGAAACAAAACAACCACTTCATAATTGTACGGCACAACATAGAAGAACAAACCCATCAAGACATGATTCAGTAGTCCAGACAAGGTCACTCTTTTGAAGACAGCAAGTCTACATTTTGAACAGAGAGGACAGCTGGATTTGAACGAAGAGTCAAAGAGGCCATTCTATGACAAAATTGAATAGTCCTCTCAACACACAGAGAGGGATATGACATTATCCATCTCCTGTTTACAACACCGTCCTTTCAGCAGTTCCAACAAGGCTCTACACCCATTTACACCACTCATATGACCCTGAGGACACAGATAAATTGCTTAAGTGATCTCAACAACTCTCTCAAAGGATGCAAATGAACAGCTGCCTGCAAGGAATATAAATCCTTCCATTCCCCATCATCCAGTCAGAACTGAAGAAGCTTTTTGGATGAGAAGCGAAACGTCTTCAAAGGAAAACCAGAAAGTCCAGTTGCCATAGTTGCCCTTTGGGACAACTATGACCTGGATGACTGAATATCTCCATAGACATCAAGCTACCCAATGATGCCTCATTGGTGAGATGGGCAGCATATAGCAATAGCAATAGTATTTAGACTTATATACCCACCTCATAGTGCTTTATAGCACTCTCTGGGCTATACAATGTAGAAGCATTATTTGCATATGGCACCCAACAATCTGGGCCCTCATTTTACCGACCTTGGAAAGATGGAAGGCCGAGTCAACCCTGAGTCCTGTCAGGATTGAATTCCACAATGGGTGGAGTTAGCCTGCAATACTGCACTTTAACCACTCTGCCACCAAGGCTCCTGGCATATACATTTAATAAATAAATAAAACATAGCTTCTTCATGCACTTTCTTAAAGCAGGTGCATCCTTTTCTGAGTTTGAACAACAGTTCTGGAGGAAAGAAGTAGTTGTTTTAAGTAGTCACAGACAGTTGGACCCAGCTTGTTTCTAGGATTAAGACAGAACTAACCTATTTTCTACAGTATTTTCGTTGGGGCCTCCTCTTTTTCTAGAAAGGCAAACTTAAAACTTCTCAAAATTGTTGTGCATTGAAATAAATACCTGATCCTTAATTCTTAGACAATCTTAGCGGTATTTGGCAAGTTGCATGGAAAATATAGATGATGAAGTGGTAAATGTCTCAAGATAACTACACCAATCTTAAACTGCTCCTGCATGAGTGACATTCAGATGAATTTTATTTCTTTTTATTCTTTTTGTGGGTATTTTATTCTTGTTATTTAATTGAATTAATCTTACAAGCTTACTAATTGCAAGATTGTTCATGCGGAAATGATTTAATGAGTTGGTCTGTTTTGAATGGATTTTGGCATGGAAAATGATAAAAATAATAAAAAATACATGCCAGACTAGATGTGAAATGAAGCAACATCTTTCTTGGTGTGTATTACTTCAGCAGATGAGTTGTCTTTTCATTTTGCGTGTATGCATTTGTCATCCACTTACATACAAGCATCAAAGCACTTAAAACATTTTTGAGAAGGCTGGGCCAAAATCTGAGCAAAAGCTGTTTAATTATCAGGAGAAGATTAATCAATTTGATTATTGTTTTATGGAAATGACTTTTCTCTGATTAACAACTGAAAACTTCTCTTTCAATGCCCTATTCTATTCTCTTTTTATTTCTACTCTCATCATTGCATTAGATCATGGTAAAATTCACTTTGCTGTTATGGCCATGGGAATATTTTAAATAGCACATTTCTGCAAATGTGGGAAAAATACTTCTGGTGGCATCTATGCATCTACTCATTCATATTTATGTGTGTCTTTCTCTTTGTGTGTGTACATGCCTGTGTTGCAGAAGTTTTCATTATTCATCAGTTGTTAATTTGTTCCGGATATAACTCTGATAACTGTGCATACACAGATCCCATGTATGTATGTATGCACAGTTCATTGATAAACATTTTATGATTTGGAAAAATTAGGAGTAATCTAATGGTGTGGATCTAAGAGGGTTTGTGTCAGGGGCAAGCAACCAGAGCCACTTGTGAACAGCCAACTCAGTAATATTATTATTTACTCCCTGTGTTGCAAGAATCTCACTAAACCCCTTGCCTTCCCCTGGAAATGACCAGACAAGGTTTGTAGAGTTTGGGGGAGGTCAAGTTTAAGCCACTTGCAACTGCGCAATGAAGGGACGCTGTAGTTCAGTGACTAAGATGCTGAACTTGTCGATCGAAAGGTTGGCAGTTCAGCGGTTCAAATCCCTAGTGCCGTGTAATGGGGTGAGCTCCCATTCCTTGTCCCAGCTTCTGCCAACCTAGCAGCTCGAAAGCATGTAAAAAATGCAAGTAGAAAAATAGGGACCACCTTTGGTGGGAAGGTAACAGCGTTCCGTGTGCTTTTGGCATTTAGTCGTGCCAGCCACATGACCATGGAGTCATCTTTGGACAGTGCTGGCTCTTCGGCTTTGAAATGGAGATGAGCACCGCCCCCAAGAGTTGGGAATGACTAGCACATATGTGCGAGGAGAACCTTTTTTTAACTGCGCAATGATTCCAAGCTAGGCCCTCTCTTGACACCTCCACCAGCCTAGCTGGTAATTGCCCAATATTTCATCTCATGAAGGATGTAATTTATTAAGGAATTGATGTTCTTGAATTCATTTTGATGTTGGCAATACTAAAAGAGAATTGGGCTGGACTTTTGCTTTGAAATATTTTCTAAGGGATTGGGTCAGCAGTGGGAAATTGTCTTAATCAAATGCACTTACGGTAGGGATTACAGATGGAAGCGAAGTAGGTGCAATTTAGCCCAAGAGAATCAGCAGGTGGTCTTCCAGGTGCCAATGTAGTGGCAGGCAAATTGTGCAGAGCACAGGAAGGTCCCACTCCATCTGTCTCCAATCGTTCTCCCAAAATAATATCTCATAAATGTATGTGGAGAGATTTGCTATATTGATGGAACTTGACACCTGCTTAGCATCCAATAAATGCATTATTAAATTGATTCCTTTCTATTCCTCTCCCTCCCCTCTCCTCCCCTCTCACTGGCCTTTTCCACTTTCTCTGAATCCTTCAAGGCTCTCCTGGGTTTTACTTCAGGCTCTTTGGAAAATTCGGTGAAACGTAAGACGAGCCATGGAAGTGTCTTCAGTTTCCGGCTACGCAGCAGGGAAATAGGTTCAGAGGCAGAGTTTGCTGATGATGATATTAGCACAGTCGGGGACAGTGAAATCCAACATGGCTCACTGCTAATTCTGAGGAATGGGAGACGGATGAGTGCACAGAGTCAAGGGATTTATAGCTCTCCAATCTACACCTATAACAGCAAAAGGAACAGTTCGGTGGATTGCAATGGAGTAGTGTCGCTGATTGGGGGTGGAGAAAGCTTGGATCCAACTACTCCAACCGATGTGCTGTTACCACCACTTATGGCAGAGAAATATGGAACAGCTGACACGGTGGGTCTACTTTTATACTTGCCTTGCCCTTTGGATTTCATTTGTCAGCTGCCAAGCTCACATAGTCCACCAATCAACCATATACTGTGACTTACAGAAGCTTGACAGACAGACAGACCAACACAAGAAGACATGTGGTAAAAATAGAATATTTACAGAGCCTTGGTGAGGATATTTATATATAGCCCATGGCTGATGGGCTAAGCGAGGCTTGCTAGATCATAAGTTTATTGAAGAGATACTTCTAGTAGTTACTGGGGATCGGGATTAAGATTTCTTCTACCCATTTTCTCTCCAGATGTTATATGCAAATGTCAGGTCCTGAAGTTGCAGCCTAGATCCTTAATCATTATTAAGAGTTGGGTTAAAAATGATGATTCAGAGGTCAGCGACTGCTAAAAGTGCTTACCCCTGGTCATCCCTAGGAATCAGCAGGCAAAACATAAAAAGGTGTTGGCTTCATTTGTTCTGCAGGAAAGGTAGTCCTCAATTTACAGCAGTTCATTTAGTGATCAATCAGAGTTACAACAGCATTGAAAACAATGACTTACGATTGGTTTTCATACTTAGGACAATTGCAGCATTCTGGTGGTTATGCGGTCAAAATTCAGGCACTTGGCAACTGGCATGTATTTATGACAGTTGCACTGCCTTGAGATCACCACTGGTAATCTTCCCAGATGGCTTCTGCCATGCAAAGTGGCAGATGTGGGAAGCCTGATTTGCTTAGTGACCACATGATTTATTTAACAACTGCAGTGATTGGCTTAACAACTGTGACAAAATAGGTCCTAAAATGGGGCAAAACAACTGTCTGGCTTAGCAATAGAAATTTTGGGCTCAATTGTGGTCATAAGTTGAGGACTACCTGTACTTTTTAATAGTCTTTCCTTTATACTCAGAAGTTGCTGTTGCCACTGGGTTGGTTGTCTCACCTTTGGTAGATGTTGCTCTGGAGAAGAACTCTTCTGGAGACTGAAGAAAGACAGTATAACGTAGTGGTGAAAGTGTTGGATTGACCCAAGTTTTAGTCCACCCTCAAGGATAACTCCTCAGAGGGTGACGTGATAGTAGATCAGCCCAACATATCTTTCTGGGTACCAACAAAGGAGAATATTTGTAGATCAGGGTCTTTAGTGCTCTCTGAGCTTGCTTATTTTCTTCCAGACATTTCATTATAATGTTTCATAACATCATCAGTGTTAGAAGGGAGTGTGGTTTGCTCTTGGTTTATATTCTAGTGGCTTAACCTGTCCTGAATATAAATTGAAAGAAAACCCCACTCCCTACTAGCACTGATGATGTTACCTATGTCTGCAAGAAAACAAGCAAGCTCACAGAGCATCTCATACCTTTCTGGATTCTTGTGGGAAAAAATAAGAGGAAGGAAGACTTGAGTTCCTGAACAAAAGATGGGATACAGGTCTAAAAATAGATACATAACTAAATATGTTCAGAGCTCCAGGGCTTGATTCCATGTTTCCGCTGACCTTGGATGCCTAAATTGTTTCTCTGGTCTTGATTTGTGGATGTTGTTTACATTTCAACTATCCCTGCTTATAATTCAGTGAGGATTTGCTAGTACAGCAGAATTAAATATTCCTCAGGGATGAAGGCAGAAACGTTGAATCATAGCTATATTATTATGGAGGGAAAGCCCATGAAGAGACACAATAATAGAATGAAAAAGAGAATATGAAACTGCGACATGTGTTAACATTATAACTAGTTAACTATCTTCATGTTCTCATGATTCTATTCGGTTTAATTTCCACAGAAATCCACTCAGTTGGGTACAGATGTGCATTCTAATTCAACACCAACCTATTTTATATATTGTTTTATCATGGAATAAACCATAAAAGCGGAAATTACTGATATGTGATTACAGAGAGATAACCTGGAGGGGTGGATGCGTAATTACTTGGAAGTTCTGCTGGGATTGTGAAGTGTTTGATCTCTGTTAGGGTTTTGTGGAAGTTTTAACTTCATTTGAAGGGAACTATATGCCTTAAGCCAATTGAAAGACTATGTCCCACAGAAAACCTAGTCTCACAATGAAGTGGGCCATCAGCAGTAACATAAACATGAAGAAACTAGAGCAGTGTTTCTCAACCTCAGTTACTTTAAGGTGCATGGACTTCAACTCCTAGAATTCCTCAGCCAGCTGAGAAACACTGGACTAGTCACTAGAGGACAGATAGCAGATCATATCTTGATGATACTTGAAATCCAGTTGTCTTTGAAGAGATGAGCCAAAACACTAAGGACCGTAGTAACTATACACTAAGAACTGACTTGAAAGAAAGTGATTTAGAATGTGATGTGATCTCAGTGACTTCTAACATTTGCTGGCTACCATCTACTGACCAGATGTTCTCCGGAACATGTGGGAGTATGCAAGTGGCAATGTAGTACAGGTAGTTTTTGACTTACAGCCGTTCATTTAGTGACTGCTCAAAGTTACAACAGCACTGAAAAACACAACTTATGTCCATTTATCATACTTGTGACTGTTGCAGCATCCCCATGGTCATGTGATCAAAATTCAGATTAACATGTATTGATGATGGTTGCAATGTCCTGGATTCATGGGATCCCCTTTTGTGATCTTCTGATAAGCAAGCTCAATGGGGAAGCCTGATACTAACTTAATAACAGCAGTGATTTACTTAACAACTGTGGCAAGAACGGTCCTAAAATGGGGCAAAACTCACTTAAGAACTGTCTTGCTTAGCAACAGAAATTTGGGATCAATTGGGTCATAAATCGAGAACTAACTGTATATCTGGAGGATACCAAGTAGGAAGGGAAATGTTAAAATTGGTACTAACCAGTACTGCAGCCTACAGATTGACTTTCCTTCATAGACTCTAGTTTATCTGGCTGAGTTGTAAAAAAGACAATGGATGGATGAAATTTACAGGTTTTATAGCCGATCAAATTGCCAACATACACTGGATCATGGAGAAAGCTAGGGAGTTCCAGAAAAACATCTACTTCTGCTTTATTGACTATGCTAAAGCCTTTGATTTTGTGGATCACAACAAATTGTGGCAAGTTCTTAAAGAGATGGGAGTACCAGACCATCTTATTTGTCTCTTGAGAAACCTATATGCGGGTCAAGAAGCAACAATGAGAATTGGACACGGAACCACTGATTGGTTCAAAATTGGGAAAGGAGTCCGGCAAGGCTGTATATCGTCACTCTGCCTATTTAACTTATATGCAGAGCACATCTTGAGAAAGGCGGGGCTAGATGAATCAAACGTTGGAATTAAGATTGCTGGGAGAAATATCAACAACCTCAGATATGTAGATGATACCACTCTAATGGCAGAAAGTGAAGAGGAACTAAAGAGCCTCATGAGGCAGGTGAAGAAGGAGAGTGCAAAAGTTGGCTTGAAACTCAACATTAAGAAAACTAAGTTCATGGCATCCAGCCCTTTCAATTCCTGGCAAATATATGGGGAAGAAATGAGGTAGTGACAGATTTTATTTTCCTGAGCTTCAAGATCATCGCAGATGGGGACTGCAGAGAAATTAAAAGACGTTTGCTCCTGGGGAGGAAAGCTATGGCAAATCTAGACAGCATACTAAAAAGCAGAGACATCACCCTGCCAACAAAAGTGCATATAGTCAAGGCGATGGTTTTCCCAGTTGCAATGGATGGCTGTGAAAGTTGGACCATAAGGAAGGCTGAGTGTCAAAGAATTGAGGCCTTTGAACTATGAACTATGCTGGAGAAGACTCCTGCGAGTCCCTTGGACTGCAAGGCGATCAAACCAGTCAATCCTAGAGGAGATCAACCCTAACTGGTCTTTAGAAGGCCAGATCCTGAAAAAGAAACTCAAATACTTTGGCCACCTAATGAGAAGGAAGGACTCACTGGAGAAGAGCCTGATGCTGGGAACAATGGAGGGCAAAAGAGAAAGAGGACGGCAGAGAATGAGGTGGCTGGATGGAGTCACTGAGGCAGTTGGCATGAGCTTAAATGGACTTCGGAGGATGGTAGAGGACAGGAAGGCCTGGAGGAATGTTGTCCATGGGGTCGCGATGGGTCAGACACGACTTCGCAACTAACAATAGCCGATTACAATCCACAGATCCTAGGTGCAGTACACCAACATAAAAATTCAGAGTAAAAAAATAGGGTTAATACTGTTTCCTTCCGAGATGTGGATCATAAATTGTGATTTATCAAAACATAGTGGGTAAGAAGATGCTGATTTTACAGCACCGCCCAATATCTTCTACTCAGCCTACAAAGGAGTGTGCAGCTGATGACTAATATTCTATTAATATGTATGTTTATTAAAATGTTCACTGGACCACATCAGGAGAATACCAGCAGCTTAATGGCAAGCACAGTCACCCTTCAGTTTAACTCATATACTGCTGTTGTTTCTCCAAGCAAAGAACAGGCAAGGTTCTTACTTCCCACTTCAATCAGCAGGAGTTGAGAACCCTCAGCATTAGCAAAATGGATATTGGTCTAAATCCTTTGGAAGCTGCTGAGAATATTATCCCCAATTCTTGAGTGGTGTGTAAATTCACACAAAAATAGCTAATGCAAATGGTGCTAATTATGGCTTCTCTTCAATTAAAATTGTCTTCAGAGAGTATGCCTACACTAGATCCCATATCAGAGATGTAGTGGCTGAAGCATCACAGTTGTTATTGTGAGGCACGAACAACCAGATTCACACTTCAGAGTTCAATTAGCTACTTTATTGCTCATGCCCATGTCACAGGAATCTTCTCAGAACGGCAGTCTGTACCTGGGCTTCATTAGGCTCAATGACATTCAATAGGGGTCAGATCTTGCCCTCTTGTGCCTACATAAAGATTCCAGACTAATTCCCCTCTTGACTCCTCTCCCTGGCTCAGCCAGTGTTTCTCTGACAGTTATATTCTAATTTTGTAAAATATTGTACATTGTAATATTCCTGCGGTGGGCTAAACTGTCTTCCCTTGGCTGTGTCTTGTTGCCCTGCCTT